TTTTTGTGTAAATTGGAGCATCATTAAGTCGTAGAAGTAGCAATCGCGATACTCGGACATTATACTTTATTTTACTAGGTCATATCATTGCCTCAAAATCCACACAATTCAACACAAATTCCGAAAATAACATCTGTCATTGAATATAGTGTCGTTTACACACACTGACGTGGGTGAATTCTTAGTCCCTACATTTACGAAAATTGAACACTAGATGGCGTGAATGAAAAAAATTGTTTTCCTTTTTTCTGTAGGCAGAACTACAGAACGCCACCTGCTGCGATATATATTATGTACGATTCATCATCTGCCTAGCCTTTTTCTCCAACTATATTGGGGTCGGCTCCCAGTCAAACCGGATCAACTGAATACCAGTATTTTACGATTATGTTATAAAATAAAAGTTATATTTGTAAAATGAGCCGTGGTAACTCAGATGGTTAGCACTCGCTGTAAGTTTCACAGTACGCGAGAAACCCGGGTGCGATCCCCGCCGGCACCAATTGTTAATTGCAATTTTAAGTGCTGATTTACCACGTGCTCAGCGGTGAAGGAAAACATCGTGAGGAAACCCGTATGTCTGACAAATAAGAAAAAAAAATATTTCGAAGACATGTGAAGTTCGCCAATACGCATTGGGGCAGCGCGGCGGACCTTTCCTTACCCTAAAACCCTCTCAGAAATGAGAGGAGACCTTTGCCCAGCGGTGTGACGTGTATATAGGCTGGAACTTTAACTTTTTTAACTTATATTTGTAGGCGTAAATAAACTATTTAATTCAATAATAATCTTGTAAAATAAATTATCTCAACACTAAGAACAATAAAACGCAGTTTTATTTTATAACCTTACACTATTGAAATTAATGATCAAAACAAGTATTTGAAGTAACACGCCTGATGTTAAACGCCTATTCACTGAAAACTAATAACACAGATGATTTGCAACATAACCAATTACATATTACGAAAATTTGACATTACATAATACGTAAGTAACTATTCATAAACAAGAGATTAACAACAAATCTAAAACACGATTTAGTATGCGATAATTACCAGGAAGGTGAAAAAATATTTTCTAATTTCAAAGCACACACAACTACAAAAGCTTTTAGTAAAACAAAAATCATTTGACTTGTTGGTTATTTTTTATTAGATTAGTTTTAGGGCAAGAAAAGAAAATGTCCGCCGCGGTGCAATTAACAAATTCATCGGTGCCGGCAGGGCTCGAACTCTGGTTGCTCGCGTAGTGTGAAATTTGCAGTGAGCGCTAACCATCTGAGCTACTATGGCTCGTATACATGTTTACCAATTTTTAAATAATATACTTACATTTATTACTATTCTATTTTTATAAAGTTTAATATTTATAATTATTTTATTGATAAATATTTCATTAATAAATAAATAATTATTAATCTAATAACCGTAATAAAACAAAATTAATATTAAATATTTACATAACCATTATTTTCATCTGTTATCCAAGGACAAAGCAACTGAAAAAATCCAGGACCGTAACAAACGATACGACGCGACCTTGAGCTTGGTACTACAACAAAATAAAATAGACTAATAATAATATGTGTCTGTCTGAAACTGTTTGCTAAATACGTAATAGGTATTTTTACGTAACCCCGCAAAACTATATTTTGCAAATGTTTGTAAAATTAATTTTGTGACTACTATGGTGGCTTACCGATTTATAATTTTATTTATTGTTGAAAAAAATATTCAAACAAAACACAGACTTTGTAGTTTTGTACTCAACATGATTTGAAATCACGGCCCAACTTGCGTTTATAATACCACCGAAAACAAAATTGCGTATTTTGAATAATTAATTACTATACCTACAATAAATTACAGTATATTGTATTATATTGGAATCAAATACATACTAGAAATATTGCAAATTGAATCAATGAAAATCATACAAAAATATAATATAAATTGCAAGAAATTTCGCGCGCAAATCCTATCCCTTGACAATCGAGAATTACTTTAGAATGTTAGTACACGGCCCTAGCTGCCCCGACAAAGGTCAAATATGCCGGGGCCCATCAGCGGTAGATTCGAAGGACAACTAAGGGTGGGGCTCGAAATGCCTATGGATGAATGTCCTACACAATAGATGTAAGGCTAGGTAATTAATACGAACTATAAGGGCTGCTAATCAAACAAAGGGCAAGAACAACTTACCGATCTCCTGGGGTAGGGTTGACAACTTGGTACCAGTCAGGTGATAAGTGAGGTGCATGTAAGTAGTGTGTAGTGATGTGTAAAATGTGTGACCTGATTTAACCAAGGTTATCGGGAGCGGCCTGGTCCGATGCTGCCCCACGATGTGGTCTCACTCCAGCGGACGTCACCAATTGACAACTTCTGCCTTCATGTCACTATTTCAGTCTATCAACTTTATTGTACATATAATTAACTTCAAAGTCAACTAATTCAACGTTCATCGAAATCAAACACGTGACACACGACACAACTAACGAACCGTCGTTCAAAGTTCAATGGTATGTTCATTTAGCAACAAAATTACAAACACGGGAACGAACGCTGCCTCTTCTCGAGTTCAGCGTTCCAAACAACAAACTAGAATTCTTTCGTACGATATTAACAGTTCACACAAACAAATTAAATATTGCCAACGCGCACCAAAATGCAATCACTATACAAATTGACGTAAATTAAAACAAGCTACAACTCGTCGGCACAAATTAATGGCAATCAGTTACTTTACATAAACATAAACACTCACGCCTGTCACCCAGAGGGGTAGGCAGAGATTATGAACTTCTATTTGGCACGATCCTGACACACCTCTCTCTCTTCCTCCACATCCATATACCTAATCAGTTACCTAATCACTCAAATTCAATACAAGCCACTTGTCACGAAACGTACAAAATAGACAACCAATTCGAGGGGGTCTACAGAACCCCAAATATTCAGTAGTAAATTAAAAGCGCACAAGTACTCAAATTCTAGGCCTCAAAACCAAAACTGGCCGCGCGCGACCGATTCAGTGGTCGCAACCAAGACAACTTGTCAACCCAGCCGAGGCGGTCAAGCTACTGTTGCTAGCCCACGAGGCCGGACGCCGGGAAGCGGAATACCGCTGCCCCCCCCCCCCCCCCGGCGGCGCGCACGTTCGCTCACACCATCGGGCGATGCGCTAAGTCAAACGCGATTGGATGCAGTTTCAAATGCCCATGTTTGGGCCTAAACAATGTTTAAATTTTATTATAGTCAAACAAGACAAGGAAGCTTGGCATCGCTTTTTCTTCGTTCATCTAGTTCAAGGTTAGGAAGTACGGCATCGTTGCATAATATCTTACTACGAATAATGGTATTTGTTGGACAACAATATCGTCTGCACGCCATCTAGCGTACCAATGTTTAAACCATGTTGTCAAGTTATCAAAATTCACTCACCCTACTAAAGAAGTGTCAAAATTTTCCTAGATTTCGCTATTGTTTTTCTTAATAATTACTGTAAGTTATTTCCTAATAAAGTCAATCGCGAGCACATTTCAGTGTAGAAAAGTGATAAAATTATTAGTTTTAAACAAATAGTGTCTGTGTTTAACGTATATGTCAAAACTAAAATGTATGGCGGGGGTATTGGAGCTTCCCCCTTAAGATTTTCTCGTACGTTGCGAGCAAAATGTGCCGGAGCTCCATCATGCTGAAACACCATGTTTTTTGTTTCTTGTTCTCAAAGTAATCCCCGTCAGTCACAGGAAAGTCATCAATTGCCTCTTCGAATTCCGTTTGTAAAAACGTTAGATAGTTGCTACCGTTCAGACATGATGGCATAATGACGGGACCGATGACATGCCATATAGGCCAGCCCACACATTCAGCTGCCACTGGTGTTGGAATTTGCCCTGCCGTGAAGCATGTGGATTTACGCGAGCCCAAACGTGATCGTTATGCATATTTGAAAGTCCGGATCTCGTGAATGTTGCCTCGTCCGTCCCAAGAACATAGTTTACGTAATTAGGGTTTTTCTCTAACTGCCTGAGGTACAACTCGCAGAAGTTCCTTCTGGGTGCAAAATCGGAGGGTATCAGCTCCTGTGTACGGCGATAGTGATAAGGGTGACGATTGTTGTCACGAAGAATTCGCCAAACTGAACCTGGTTTATACCGAATGTTGTTCCGGCTCGCCTCGTACTTGTGGTCGGCTTTTCTTCAAAATGCTCTAACACTAATTCAGCCTGCCTGGCGTCGACTGTGATTGGACGTCCACTTCCAGTAGACCGATGAAAAGAGCCGGTGGAATGTAGTCGTCTTGACATGTTCAGAAAACACTGGTCCGAAGGCAGCCGTCGTTGTTCATTGGGGGGTCTACCATCGATAAATCGTTGCCGATACAGTTCGCGAGCACGAGTTAAATTGCTATCTTGATGGCCTACGCATAACATCATATCGTAATATTCCGAGTTAGAAAGCATCGTTATTTTGCAAAAAATGTTGGCAAAAAAAATTCGAAACAGTTGTAGGATATCAATTAGAAGATATGAAATTGACTGAACTTGACATTTTTTGAAGCCAGTACTTGAGTATAATGACATCCTTGTATTCAGGTAGCAAACATTTATGAATGAAAAATAGAAAAACTATTAAAGTAGACAATTATTAGGTAAAATAGGTACGTAGGCCTTTCTGTTAAATAATCTGGTTCCTTGACATGACAGTTTACTAGGGTTGACAAAATTTTTGGCTTTGATAATTAATTATATTTTTACGGGGTATTTTGTAACACGTGTAAAAAAACCACATGCTCGGCGGTGAAGGAAAACATCGTGAGGAAACCTGCATGTATTAGAAATAAGAATTTTTTTTTAAAGACGTGAAGTTCGTGAACCCTCACAGAAATCAGAGGAGGCCTGCGCCCAGCAGTGGGATGTACCTGCCAGCTGTAACTTTAACGTTTTTAAATGATACAATAGCAAATAAGTAATATCGTGTGTCCGTGTGGCAGTACCGCGAGGTGGTGCAGCGGCGCGAGGCGCGACGCGCGCGGCGCGCTGCCATGGTGCGGCGGCGCACGGCGGCAGCGGCCGAGCGCATGCGCGTCATCTCGCACCTCGCCGCCGCCGGCGACGACTTCGGCACGCGCGACTCCGACTGGGACGTCTACAAGAGGTAGGTACATGGTGCGGCGGCGCACGGCGGCCGCGGCCGAGCGCATGCGCGTCATCTCGCACCTCGCCGCCGCCGGCGACGACTTCGGCACGCGCGACTCCGACTGGGACGTCTACAAGAGGTAGGTACATGGTGCGGCGGCGCACGGCGGCCGCGGCCGAGCGCATGCGCGTCATCTCGCACCTCGCCGCCGCCGGCGACGACTTCGGCACGCGCGACTCCGACTGGGACGTCTACAAGAGGTAGGTACATGGTAAATATTGACCCTTTCATTTTTCTAAAAATTTCTATTTAAAAATTATGTCACACAACTAAGAGGACTGACACCCCATGTGTTAAAATAAAGCGCCAAAGAAAGGGACAACTACACACATACTTACACTCAAAATATTACCCTCTTTTTTAGGCAAGCGGAATAAAACTAATGGGAATAACAGTATCTACGTTAGGTCACGTGACATTTATGTAACTTATTGTTGGTTTCATTAAATTTTATTGTTTTCTATTCGCGTTAACGATTATAAAGTGTTAACTTTCGCTAGCCCCACAGGGCTTCTCAAGTCGAGGCCGGCATGGTTCGCCTACGTCTACATGGAGTTTCGGCTCTTCTCTTAGCCTATGTTCTGACTTCTGATTATTTGCATAACAGCATATCGATAAACTAAGTGTAGCCACAAGATAGTAAGATATGCATTAATTCTATAGACTCAGGTGCCCCGGCGCCCTCTTGTGTATTTTTCAGTTATTTATAATCCCAACTCCATCTACGAGAGCGCAGAAGAAACCTCTCTCATTTCGTCACCTAATAATTTGTCAGAGTGGCTTATCTATGCCCTATATAGTATATTATCTATGTTTTTTATAGGATAGGGTGACAAACGAGCACACAGTCCACCTGATGGTAAATGGTTGCTATGTCCCATAGACATTAACATCTATCCTCGTTTGCAAATCAAAATGCAGATGCGTTGTCACCCGTGAGGACCCGTGATGGAATGGTTCTTTTCCAGTAAAAAGGGTCTCCGGTTCTGTACACTCACCCTACGAAACACAGCAGTGTTAAGCTGCTATTTTACGCTGGTATTCTGTGAGGGCGTGGTCCTTTCCTGGTCGAGCCGAGCCATTCGTGCTACAATATTACTAATATAGCTGCAGCATGGCTCTACCACGTATACGCTACTACCATGAAAGATCATCAAATGCCAAAATATAATCTTTTCTGTAATTCAGCATCAGCCGTGAGGCCGATTCTGATTCAGAAGCAGACGGCGAACGGCTCGTGGAACTAGAAGAGGCACTACGAGAGTACGAACCACAACAACCAAGCAATCAACATCACCAACTACACCTCGCAATAGAACCTTTCAGGTACAAAAAACACATTAAAATATACTATCTTGTTTTTGGTATTACGTGTCATAATTTTGACAAATTCAAATAGGATTTTAAGTTCCTGATTCTGGAGTTAGTGCAATGAGGTTATAAATAACTAAAAAAAGATGTACTATGGGTGAGGAGGTAGACATATAGTTATGCATTTTTATTTCGTTGTTATTGCTAAACGAATATTTTGTTGAAATATTTTTTTGCCTTATTCTATATTAAACGAAATTTAACGCAAAGAAAACTATTATTCTTGATAAACCCGTAATTTTTCTTCTATTTACTTGCGTAGTTACTTTACAATATTATTCATAAATCATAATTTACTTAAAACGTGAACACATATCAATCCTTTCCTTTTTATTTTCTTTATAGGTTTCTATTTTTATACAACGAATCCTTATAATACTCTGTCCGTGTGCTGTGTAGGACAAGACCAATAATAATAAGAAATGTAATTATAAGTCTGTTTTTATTGTAATTATTAACTGCAGGGCACAGTCCTTATCTTTAAAAGTAGTTTTACTTATCCATACCTAGTAAAATTTTGAAAGAAAAAATGTAGGTAGATCTAATTTTACAGCTGCACAAAAATCTTTTTTTGGTTCTCGACTTTGTTACGGAAATGACGCCTATGTTGTGTAAATTAAATATTATTTTTCTGTGCTTAGGAGAATTCGGAATAAGCTTTGGAGATATTTGTAACATTTCCAAGGTCTAGTCCCATTCCAATTGCTACACCACGTTTTTAATGAGTATAGACTTTTCGTTCTTTCCATTACAAAACTTTACTTTAATACGTAAACTTTAACCATTTTACTTTCCCATGAGTCATATATATGAACATTACATTTTTTTTAACTATTGTCTCTTTTTCGCGGACAAGCAAATTGTTAATAAATGTGATTTAATATGCAATGTATTTTTGCAGAGCTCCAGAATTAATGTTTCAACCATCTATGATGGGCAATTTGGAAGCTGGATTAGCAGAGACAATGGAGTATGTGTTCAAACATTTTAGCCCAGAGGATCAATTGTTATTAGCAAATAATGTATTTCTTACTGGAGGTTGTTCGCAATTTCCAGGTATTTTAAACTTATTTTAACTTCAATTTACAGTAGTCATATTATTTAAACAGCAAATTTATCATATCTATTTTGTTAACGTAATTGTTATAATAGAATTAAAATTACAAAATCACGAGAATTCATAAAAAAATTAAAAATTAAATTAAAGAAAGCTAACCACATATCTGCTTTCCAGGTTTAAAAGAAAGGTTAGAAAGGGAGCTTCTCGAAATGCGACCATTCCAATCAACCCATAAAGTAATACTCGCTAAAAATCCGAGTCTGGATGCTTGGTATGGCGCTAGAGATTTTGCGGGTAGCAACGAGTTTGAAAACTGGTGTATAACTAAAGAAGAATATTACGAAATGGGCGGAGAATATTTGAAAGAGCATCATGCAAGCAACAAATATTATAAGAGCCCAGCACCAATCGTAGATAACACTCTTGCTCCAGCCGGAGACGCGAATGTGGTGAAAGAGGAAATAGTTGTAGACTGTTGATGATTGATTACTTTGAAATAAAGTATTCTTAAAATAATAAAACTAATTTTGTTTTAATTAGACATGACTTTGGTATACATACAATTAAACATGTTCGTGTAGTGGCGGTGTAAGAATATCTACTACGCCAATAACATACCGTGGGTGTCGTAAAAGGCGACAGAAGGGAAACAATACAAGATATGGACAGTGTCTTCCTAATAACAGCTAAAAATAAAAATAAACAGGTTGCCAACCCGCCTGCTAAGCTTGGCAACTATCGCAAATACCCCCCCCTCCCCTCCCCTTATGAGGCAATCTATGGGGAAGGCCTATGTGCAGCAAATGAATGTTAATAGGCTGTAACGGTGGTTGATATACATTACATTTTATGCATAAAAATATTTCATGATCTTAACTACCACGGCTTTTACTGACAGAGTTTCACAATTCCTTGCCGCATATATTGGACTTTTTATTATATACTGTGATATTAATCGATTTCAGCGTATGTCATCTTATACACGGTGTCACTCCTGTAAAATTGCAACGCGCTATAACCAGGAGTGTTGCCGGGCCTGGGCTGACGTATCGACGTCCCCAGTAGCGGATTATCCTCAAGGCAAACTAGGCAGGTGCCTAGGGGCGCATGTTTAAAAAGGGGCGCTCTCAGAAGTTTTGTAACGAAGAAAAAATCGTCTATTTGATTACTCCTAAGTTTCGTACTCACATTCGGTCACTCCATAGTTTTACTCTAAAACGGGTAAAAATCAACGTGTGGACCGCGAAACTCACAATTCGAAAACTTGCATCGAGCCGACACCGTACGGTGTCGCCGCGTGTAGCACTGTAGGTCAGTGAATCGGGATGGGATGCGGCCTTTTTTACATCCTACCCTTGGGGCAGATTTGCTTATTGCTGGATGATCGCCACATTGTTGGTCAGTCTATCGCCGATGTGATGCTTCAGGAGATGAAAATTTTTATCCCGTCATCTATGTGCCTATCGGCGGCCGATCTCAGCCTTGTCGTTTGGCCGCTCCTGCAAAATTGCGTCGCGGTAAAAGCAGAAGTGTTAGAAAGCCTGGGCCGACGTATCGACGTCCCGGGGTGCAAACACTAGCGCACTGAAAAAGAATTACAACTTTACTTTCAAGTCCAACAAAAGAGTTATCACTAGGGCAAAGTGAGAGAATTGGCGAGAAACTAGTTCGCCTTTCTTCGGGAACTCGTGCATTCTGTTTTCTGCAGGGCTATTCACAATCGTCTCGGAAAGCGAAATCGACTCGGATTCGATAACTTCTCGCACCGAAACCAATAAACGCTATTAACATTTAACGTTCGGATAAAGGTCACTTAGATACATCCTATAACTATTGTATCGTCATTTAGTTACATGCATTTACGAATTTTGTAGATAAATAGGCTTTTGTAATTTTTAGAGTAACGCCTGCACAAAAACATAATGCAATATTTTGGAGTTAGCCATTGATATCGAATATAAAAAATATATAATTTAACTATATAATAAATAACAAAAAAACTGAGATATGTCTCGTTTCTGTCGGGTCTGGGTTTTTTCTATGGGGCGTTCTTTGACGTTTGTTTTCGATAATTGTGACAGTTTGCATCGGAAACTTTACGAGAGCTCTGAGGCTGGCGAAAACTTTTCGAATATTGATGATTAGAAGAGATAAACAAACCCTTTTAATTATAAGGTAGGTAACAAAAATTAATTACAATTATCTATAAGACGTATTTTCATATAATTACTTCAATATTTGCACTTAATCGTAAAGCTGAATTTTTGTGAAAGGTGTGTTTTTATAAGTTTTCTATCACAAATATATATATATATATATATATATATATATATATATATATATATATATATATATATATATATATGCTGCTTTGTGAAACGAGACATATCTCAGTTTTTTTGTTATTTATTATATAGTTAAATTATATATTTTTTATATTCGATATCAATGGTTAACACCAAAATATTGCATTATGTTTTTGTTAGGCGTTACTCTAAAAAAATACAAAAGCCTATTTATCTACAAAATTCGTAAATGCATGTAACTAAATGACGATACAATAGTTATGGGATGTATCTAAGTGACCTTTATCCGAACGTTAAATGTGAATAGCGTTTATTGGTTTCGGTGCGAGAAGTTATCGAATCCGAGTCGAATTCGCTTTCCGAGACGATTGTGAATAGCCCGGCTGGGCTGCCCAAGGGAATTTCTGTACGCAGACATGATGAGTCGCTGGCCTACGCCGCAAAGGAGAAAGCCGATCTTTTAGATTCTCTTTTTACGATCAACTCGACTCTCAATGACAGAAGGAATCTGCCGCCTACCATCCCACAGTGTGAATCTATTCATTTGGACCTAGGGAAGGCCTTCGATCGGATTTGGCACAAAGTGTTTCTTTAGAAGCTTTCCTCTTGTGGGCTTTCCGATAATAATATAAAAAAATAGTTGGTCACCAGTTTTCTGGTCCGAAGTATTAAGGTCGTAGTCGACGTTGCATGCTCCGCATCCAAGCCTGTGAATGCTAGTGTTCCACAAGGCTGCGTGCTATATCCTACCCTGTTCCTTCTGTACATCAATGATATGTTGCACACTAGTAAGAATCATTGTTGTGCAGACTACAACACTGTCGATGCCTTATACACCGGCCGTGCTAATATTTCTCGGTAATACGTCGTCGGGTGCCGGAACAAACTGGTGTCTAAATCTAGTCCAGTTTGACCCCCAATAACACAGGTTTGCGTATTTACTGCAAAAAAGAACCACTTTGTCGTATCTTCCGAATTTCAGGGCACTCTCCTCGTTGCATCAGAGTCCTTGGGACAACATTTCGAGAGACGTACACTTCCGCAGTTACTTGGAAGGGAATGCTAAACTGACAATAAAAAAGCTTGGTGTGCTCAGTAGATAGAGACGTTATTTCATGCCGGCCCACCGCTTGTAACTTTGCAAAGCGCAGCTTTGGCCTCATATGGAATACTGTACTCATCTCTGGGTTGGGGCACGCCAGTATCAGCTCCTTCTACTTGACCGTATTCAACCGAGCGGCCAGAATCATTGACGACCAAATTCTTTCCGATCGGCTTGATCCACTCGCCTTACGAAGAAATCTTATATCTTTATGCATCTTCTACCGCATACTTATACCACGGAGAGTGCTCAGAAGAATTATTCGGATTAATTCCAGATGCGGAATTCTACTATCTAATACTGCAGCAGAACTTGAAATTTCATCTTCATCATCTAGATGGCTGGCGGTCCACTACTATCACATGAGTAAAGAAACCGTACCGTACAGAGACAAAGCTTCATACAACCGCGTTATGATAATTACACTACTACAAGCATGAGGCACGTGCTTGCGTGAGCACTGGCGGCTCGTCACGTACAGCAAGAAACTTCTTTAAACCGGCTCGGGCAGTGCTCAAACTCAGGGTTATGTAAAGTATAATAAGTTTCAAATTTTATTTTTTAAAGAATTATTCGTGTCAAATGAAATATAAAAAGTGTTAATATGGTTTACTGTACTGTTTGTATGAACAATAATAGAACAAATAAAAATATATAATTTTTTTAATTATCCCAAAGATTCCACTAGGTAAGTTTATTATTTTTTTGGTAGATAGAAACTCACCTATAAGTGGTTGAATAGTTATTTTTATAATGTTTATAATTGAATAATTACGTTAATAAATAAAATACCTACATAGGTTAATGATTTTTTTATTATTATTATTATTTAAAACGGCAAGAGTGGTTAAAATCTGTCGGACGAGAAGATCTCCTTTAAAAACTGTTGGATTATAAAAAAAAGGCAACAATATAGATTCTGTGAGGATCACTTCGAAAAATCCTGTATTCAGTTTTCTAAAAAAAGATCTGTAAAATATTTATTTGGAAATGCTTTTCAAACACTCATTTTGTTGACAAATAACGGTGCTTGTTTGAGTTCCAGCCAATGTGAGAATGCATCTGAAATGAATGTATGAATTGCTCCAGCAAAAATTTTGGGAATATTTCGATCTCAAAAGAAATATTGTAAATATTAGTAGGTGTGAATTGGGGCTTCTGCATCACTTGCTCTCGCATTCGCTCGAGGTACATGCCGCTGAAGACCCCAATTCTCTACAGTGAGGTACAACATTTTTAGTTTAACCAAATTAACGTCTACATACTCACAGTTCTATCCTGCGGGAACAAGTGTACTTCCACTTCCAGTTGAGTTATTGAGCATTATATTCAGAGCGTTTGCGAGATACTGATGGTATTGCCGCATCTATATGATTAATTTCTAATAATACAACTTGTTTAGCCTAATTTCATTGTGGTAGTTTTAACAAGAATTATGAAATACGTATTCCTATTAATCAACAAGACCTGTACGTACTACCTTCACTCAGTAGTTTATATATCGAGGGAAAGGTGAACGTTTATAACAGTACCACAAAAGAAAAGGTATCAAACGTACATTTTGTCAATAATCCCGTGCTATTTCTTTTTCAAGACACACGATATGAACTTAATGGAGTAGAAATAGATAAAATTAAGAATGCTGGTGTCACCACTACAGTAAATTCTTATCTATCCTTAAATGAAAATGAATCCAAATGTGCTAGAGTTTGGGGCTGGTCAACTGGCGGAACAAGCAATACTAGTGGTGGAGCGTTTTCCGCATCTATACCATTGAACAAGATTTTAGGATTTGCAGAAGATTATGAAAAAATTATAATTAATTGTAAACATGAGTTAGTATTATTACGAAGCAATACAAATCTTAATGCGATCAAGTTAAATACAGGTGAAGTTGTAGAAGACATTATAATAAATAAAATAGTTTGGCGAGTTCCACGCATCAAAGTATCAGATCGTGAAAGAATCAGCCTATTAAAACTTTTAGAGAAAGATAGAGCTATTCCATTGGCATTCCGTTCCTGGGACTTATATGAATATCCATTGCTACCCAAAACACGTAAAGATACTT